ATATACATGTATATTTTAATGCACACCAGGACCAAACATGCAATCTATTGAGCAAATTATCAAATAAGTTAAATAATGATCCAAAAGGCTAAGAGTAGATATAATGAAATTCGAAAATGTATTCTTATCAATATATTTCCCTGAATATCCTATGGGCAAAACTATATTAAGCAGGAAATACGAGTATACCGTCAAAAAATACGATTATTGATTATATGTATCTTCCCTGCTAACATTGTTTATTTTGACAGGCTTTAAATGTAACAATGTGTATGTGTATAAATTTTGTGATTTATAAAATGAATTTTATTAAGGAAAAATTTGGCTCAAGTGAATTTATAAATCACCAGAGCTGAATTCCCCCCTATTCCTTTCCCAAATAGAATCCCCCTACCCTATAAAAACTATATTGTAGGATTAAAGGCCATTGTAAATCACAGCGACAATATTTTTAAAGTTTATATGAAAATCAAGTGATTTTTTATTAATGGAAGTTCAAGTGTTTGCGACTCATATACTGTTTGATTTCAGTAGAAATTCTAAAAACATATTTCAAACCCTGAAGTCTTAGTTCAATTTTTCACTCTTCAAAAAATAAATGTAAAATTCAGTCTGTTGTACGTAATATTACGTAGAGGAAAAATTTTTAACTCCAAATCATTTTTTTTACTTTTATGATAAGAGTGTTTAATTATTCTAGTCTTTAATTTCAAAATTTTTTCTGCACTTCAGAACCTCCCTGGTTCTTTTTAAGTTTTAAAGGAATTGATATAACAATGTATACAGGAGTGTTTTCGTAGTCCATCAGTTGGTGAAATCAGACACTGGAATTTGGAGATCTCTGGTTCTCTGAGATTGATTGGTTCATGTCTGCGTCAAGTTTCTGAGTTTAGATGAATATGATTTGAATACCGGTAGATGATCATATCTCATGGATTAGATTTTTCCGTTATTTCCCGATCATGACAAGGAGCACACGGCGGGTGTAACCGGTCGGCAGGGGATGCTCATTCCTCCATGGCATCTGATCCCACCTCTGATGTCTTAGAGGTCCGTATTTGCTCTGCTCCTTTTTTGTAATGTTTATGTTTGACTTTTGAGCTCGAATACTGTTCGTTGTCTCTACAAATTTCATCAATGAGCTAATTGTTTTGCTCATCTACTTTGAAATACCAAAATTTTTTGGTTTCTTTGTCTTTTTTTGCAAGGTCAATTAATTTTTTTTAGATGTAGTTATGTCCTTTTCCGCACCTTTTCCCCTTTTCTTCTTGTATTTGGGGATTATTTTGGATTCAATTTCGATAGCTTTCTTCTGGAATTCTTTTTGTCATTTTGATGATTGGTATGTCTATTTATGAAGGAAATCAGGAGGGATCTGCAATTTTTGACGATATTCTTGTTTTTGTTTTATAATCTGAGCTGCATGTCGATAAAATAAAAGTTATTTGATAACGTTAACAACTTGACAGTGAAAATCACTATAGGACTTCCTTCTCTGTGGAACACACATTATTCAGAAAAAGTTTTGCAAAATCTAGCATGAAAAAAAGTATAAAATTATACCTTAACATTTTATATATGAAGCAAACAAGTAAACATTACGAACATAAGTCACACGCAGCCATCATCTGTCACGATACGTCTATTTCAGGTACTGGATTACCTTAACTTCCCTTTTTTCAATTAATCCAACCCATAATCTCCCCTCACTATCCACACTTAGTCCACAGGGCTTACATAGTCCACAATTATCTATGTATCTCAGAAACTGTCCATCCTAATCAAGTATATGTAGACATTCATTAGTGTGACCTGCCACAACGATGTGACTCAAAGAATTTGTAACAATATTTTTAGGATCAAATGCGCTCTTCTTCCTAAATGACGTACCGTGGTATCGGAAGCGGACTTTTCCTGTCTTATCCACCACTACTAAAGTCTTTGCATTGGTATCAGAGACGCAGATATCTTCATTGTTGTTTTCTGCCACAAATAGTATAGATAGACCAGACTTTTTAGGTCACCTGAGTCACTCAGGTGACCTATTGCTATCTCTTTTCGTCCGTCGTCGTCCGTCGTCCGTCGTGCGTCGTGCGTCGTGTGTTAACATTTGAACATTTTCAGCTTCTTCTCTGAAACCGCTGAACCAATTTCAGCCAATTTTAGCATATGGTATCTATGTGTGAAGGGGAACACAATTGTGAATATCATGGTCCCTGCCCCCCTGGGGCCTGAGGGGTGGGGCTAAAACAACCAAAATTAATGCAATCTTTAAAATCTTCTTCTTTACTCCTGGACATCAAGCAGTCAAACTGTTGGCATGATTGTAATAAGCATTGAGCCCTCTACCAAAATTGTGAAATTCATGGTCCCAGGGTCAGGGGTTCTGGTGCTAGGGCGGGGCTATATAGATCATATAGTGAAAGTGCATTATTTCTTTGAAAATCTTCCTCTCTACTCCTGGGTATTATTGAAACAAATTAAATACATAGTTATGTTAAGTAAGAGTGACTCTACCAAAATTGTGAAATTCATAGCCCCAGGGTCAGGGGTTCTGGTGCTAGTTGGGGAGGGGGGGGGGCTATATAGATCATATAGTGAAAGTGCATTATTTCTTTGAAAATCTTCTTCTCTACTCCTGGGTATTATTGAATACATAGTTATGATAAGCAAGGGTGACTCTACCAAAATTGTGAAATTCATGGACCCAGGGTCAGGGATTCTGGTGCTAGGGTGGGGCTATATAGATCATATAGTGAAAGTGCATTATTTTTTTGAAAATCTTCTTCTCTACTCCTGGGTATTATTGAAACAAATTGAATACATAGTTATGATAAGCGAGGGTGACTCTACCAAAATTGTGAAATGCATGGCCCCAGGGTCAGGGGTTCTGGTGCTGGGGGGGGGGGGCTATATAGATCATATAATAAAAGTGCATTATTTCTTTGAAAATCTTCTTCTTTACACCTGGGTATTATTGAAACAAATTGAATATATGGTTATGATAAGCAACGGTGACTCTACCAAAATTGTGAAAGTCATAGCCCCAGGGTCAGGGGTTCTGGTGCTAGGGCGGGGTTATATAGATCATATAGTGAGAGTGCATTATTTCTTTGAAAATCTTCTTCTCTACTCCTGGGTATTTTTGAAACAAATTAAATACATAGTTATGATAAGCAAGGGTGACTCTACCAAAATTGTGAAAGTCATGGCATCAGGGTCAGGGGTTCTGTCGCTAGGGCGGGGCTATATAGATCATATAGTGAATGTGCATTATTTCTTTGAAAATCTTTTTCTCTTCTCCTGGGTATTATTGAAACTAATTAAATACATAGTTATGATATTAGGAAGGGTGACTCTTCCAAAATAGTGATTTTCATGACCCTTGGATCAGGGGTTCTGATGTTAGGGCCGGGCTCTATTTATTATATAGTGAAAATGCATTAATGCTTTAAAAATCTTCTTCTCTGCTCCTGGGTATTTTTGAAACAAACTAAGTACATTGTTATGATAAGCAATGATGCCCCTTCCAAAATTGTGAAATTCATGGCCCCAGGGACAGGGGTTCTGGTTCTAGGGTGGGGCTATTATAGATCGTATAGTGAAGGTGAATTTTTTCTTCGAAAATCTTCTTCTCTGCCCCTGGGTACTATTTAAACAAACTAAATACATTGTTATGATACGCAAGGATGCCTCTTCCAAAATTGTGAATTTCATTGCCCCAGGGTCAAGGGTTCTAGTGAAAAGGTTTGGGGGGGGGCTCTATTGATTATATAGTGAAAAAGCAAAATTTCTTTGAAAATATTCTTTTCTGCTTCTGGTTAAAAAGCAAAGAAGCTAAGTATATAGTTATGATGAACAAGAGTGCTTCTTCCAGAGTAGTGAATTGCATGACCCGGGTCAGATGTGCTGGTGTAAGGGTGGGGCTCTTGATAATATAGTGAAAATGCATTAATTCTATTAAATAATCCTGTCTGCTCCTTAGTGTTAAGCAGATAAACAAAGTGATTACTTATGATGAGCAAACTTCTGGTCCCAGGGTGAGAGACTCTAGTGTTTCTTGGTGGGGAGGGGGGGGGGGGGCTCTATTGATAATATAGTGAATCTGAAGTAAAAATGCATTATTTCTTTAAAAATTTTCTCTGCACTTGGGCATATCAGAGGCAAAAAGATTAAAAGTTTTAATAAGGAAGGGTATTTTTACCAGATTTTGAACATCTGGACCATTTGTTCAAGTGTTCTAGTCCTGGCCAGGGCTCTATTAATTTGTATTCTACTGAGAGGAGTTATTCCCCTTTGCCATTTACTTTTGATAATTAATCACTGTAAACAATGTACTTGAAAGGTTAATAGAATAAGAGAATTAAGCAAGAATATTTATTGTATAATACAAAAAGTATTTTTATAGTTTAATGGTCAGATAGACTTGTAAGTAATAGATAAATAAAAATGGAACAAAAATAACTTGTCTTATTAAATGTTCATCAAAGACCAAGAGAGGCCAATGTAAGAGATTTGAACAAGAAATTAAAATAGTACAGAAGCACTGATAGGTTTTTGATACACTGTATAGTGATAGTGATAAATGGGGAACAGATTAGAACCTAATTCATAAACTATCAGTGAATACTAGATTAATTATTTTGTTGATCCTGATCACCCTATTTTTCTTGCTTTTGGGCAACAAAGCTTCACCTTTCAGTTCATTTTATACTCTATGGATCCTCTAAATTGTTGTATTATACTCAGGTGACCGTTAAGGCCCTTGGGCCTCTTGTCATAGATATGTTTTCCATTTTCATCTTTAAATATTTCCTGCTTTACTTTGTGTCCCTGATAGCGGACAATCTTTCTTATGGGCCCATTATTCAGATTGACCAGTATGTCCCCTGATCTAGTACTGGTAAGTCCTCCTGGTGTCCATTCCATCGGTATGTTGATCATTACTCCTGTCCACTTGTGTCTAACAATGTTCACAGTTCCATTGTTATCACTGTACATCAGTTCTCCTTGTTATCACTGTACATCAGTTCTCCTTGTCTGGTTACAGAGATATCATTGGGAGAATCTAGACATGTTGTGGTAATAGTCTCATGTACAGACCCATGAATGTCAACACATGTTAAAGTATTGTATTTTCCAGTAACCCAAGCTTTATCAGCCCCAACACATACCACTAATGGAGATTCAGCACCAGTGGGAATAGTGGCAATAACTCTGACTTTGTCTACAAACTCTTTCATGGATAAATAGGAGACTTCTTCTGTCAGGTTGGAGAGTGATGTCTGTGACAGTGTAGCCTTGCATTCACCTAGCTCTATACTTAGTTCTTTCCCTTGGACTGTATTTGTTTTCAATGTAGGAATTGACACATAAATGTCTGCAGGAATGTTTCTGTACTCCTTTACCTTCGATTTGTAATTTGTGACTTCAGACACTTTGTTAGACTTCAGCATTTTCTTGTTTTCCTGAACTTTTTTTATCAAATTCTGAAATTAGACTTTTGAATTTTGATTGGTGTGATTTCAGCACAGTCTCGTGATCTACTCTCATTGATTTGATCAAAGACCTGAGTGTATTGAATATGCTGTCTACTTCTTGATGCCAAACGTTTATGTGTTTCTCTATTTCTTTTTCCATCTCATCAATTTTTTCCATAGATTTAGTTATGTGTTTTTCTGCATCTTCATTTTGCTTCTTATATTTTGGAATAATAGAGGATTCAATTTCGTGATTTTCTTTCTGGATTTCCCGTTTTCTGTTATTAAAGATCCTTGGTATGTCTTTTACGTTGTGTCCATTATGGGAAGTGATGACGCATTTTATGCACACAGGTATATCACACCGTTGACAGTGGGCTTCACATCTCTGATGGGGGTGAAATTCACACTTTGGAAAAACAAGCCGTATCTTTCTGTTCTTGAAGGGAACAATATCATGATTTAAAGACTCTTGTTTCTTAACGTGTTTGTTGATACATTCTTCACATAAATTGACTTGGCAGTTATTACAGAATTGTTTGGTGGGGTTGTCACAAAGGTCACACGTGATGACCTCCTGGGCCCAGGAGATGGGGGTAGCCATTCTTTTACTTATTTAAAAATGGACTCTGTAAATACATTATTGATACAAAAAAGTTTTATTATGTTTGATACTAATATTCCACATATGTGATAATTCTTTATAACGGTCAAAGTCAATGTCATCTTTGAGCCCTTAAACAGGATCAAAAATACTCACATATAAATATCATTATGTATTTAAAAAGTTCTACTCCTGACGGAATCATCAGCCAAAGAGGTACATTGTATTTTTTAAACATGTATATCTTTCAAATTAATTTAGAATTTGTACTATATAGAGAATCTTTATTCAGTGGTACTTAAAGGAAAGGAAGCATATGTCACAAATTTGAATACATATATGAATACAATTTAAAATAACTAAATTCTTAGTATACGTGAGACAATTTGTGCAGAGTTTAAATGTCCAACTTTCATTTTTTTTTTTTTAAAATCTTGTGTACAAATTATGAATATGCAAGGTTTAAAATAAATAGTATTTTAACTTTAATTAAAAGTGTTTTATACACGATGCTTAACGAAAAGAAAATGTACTCAGAAAAATATAAGTAAACTATAAATCGTATGGACCATACACATTGATCACAGAAGGCTAACTCAGAAAATATACCTTTATCATCTGAACTAATACTCCTCTAAATAATCCATTTTGCCACCGCCCTAAACTGGGGATTTACTTTTGGATAAGCTTTTATTTTCCTGGTTGTTACCTATATCAACATGAAGTGTCAGATTTTATGGTTGTAATAAGGATATTTTGGTGACAAGCCTCAACCAGACTAGAACATTTGATGAGATGCAGGGGAGAGTCATTCCTCTTATATCATATACCTAGTAGTGTATTAGCTCTGATACATTTCATTTGGACTTGATGAGATAGGTTTTTAGAGTAAGGGCCGTATCGCCATGAGGGCGAGATCACTGTCTCCCCTTGTTAGATAACTCCTGGGAGCTTTAGAATTTTTATTGAAATAAATTGTCACTTATTATCGTTAAAAACAAACTTAAATCAAATAAATTTTATTTTCTAAATAGGTCTCATTCAAGGATTGCAAAACAAGTTGTTTGAATTTACTTTTTATCTCTTCTGTCCGTATTGTTTTGTTATATATAAATTTCCAGCTCAGTATGAGAATAAGGTAGCAGGGATTTACTTTCTCAGCATTCTGAAGACCTACATGGCTTCCCTGCTAACCAAAGACAGTTCCTGTGATGTATTGATAAATACTGCTAGATCTGGCATTCGTACTTTTAGCTTTTTAAAAAGATTAATCAAAGATAGTAAGGGAAGGTTATGAGTACATCCAGTATCTCACATGCAAATCACATAATGAATGTGAAATTTTATTGATTTTTTTTCTTTGCACTTTTAAACTGCAGATGATCTACCTTTTAGCCCGGTGTCCCGCGCAAAATGGATCTAAAGACGAAAGGTTTTGATGACCCACCCCAAGGTAAAGCATTGGAGTTCGGGAAAAATTGTATTATTTACGATAGCGTTTTGAAGATTTTTCTGTTATCCAAGGCTATGCCGCAAGAAAATCCAGCACACAATGTAGAAAATTGATGTTATGAAGTGGAAAATATCCCATTGAATCGAAAAGATTTCATCATGAATTCATCATTTTTCAATTTTTTCAAGGTATTCTCTTTATTCTGAGTACAAAGAACAATTGTTGTATAAACTCTAGGAATAATTTCACTTCTGACAATTAAGGATAAATTAATCATTTCAACTTAGACAGTTGTATTTTATTCTCCTTTCTCTGTAGAGTTTATTAAAGAGATGTGTATAGATGATGTGACCACCATACTGGGTGTCCTGATTGACCCGGCTGAAACAGCCAGCACCGCAGGGGATGTAAGTCACTTTTGTCTCTAAGTCACACGTAGAATAATCATGAATTATATCACATATCAGACTATAGATGCCACATGTACATGTAAAATGAGAATGTCTTGTACCTCATATCAAATCTTTTCAACAAGGCTTCCATCTGTCTACTTTACATCATTAAAAATTGTTCTCATGATTTCAGTGATTTGACTTTATGTGTATTATTGGTATGCGACATGTATTATGTTTTTGTTAATTGTAGATTCCATTTCAGCTGACAAAACATCAGTAACCTGGAAGGTCTCTATGATCCAGGATTTGGTTTTATTCTCCGTGGATCTAGAATGGCTACATGGCTTAATACACTGATGACCCAGCAGAAGGAGCCGGAGTTGTTTCTAGATAATTTAATATAGTTTTACAATTTAGACGACCTTTACTCGACAGTCAGCGCCATTAAACATTGAGGGTTCTTAAGCGTTCCAACGCCTGCTGTGACATGGACTCTCCATTATTTTTAATGCCAAATCCAAAAGACCAGCGACATTTATTTTAAAGTGCCAACCACTAAGTGAAGGAAAAATTGCAATCTACTTTCTATCAACTGACTGCTGATTGAAGAACATTTATTTATCAAAATCTTTATCTTGAATAATGAACGAAAAAATTTTCATGTTCTGTCGAATGTAAGTTATGTCCAATTTGTATAAATATGAAAACTGTTCAGTCTGTGTCGCACTAAAAGGTTCAGTCCCTCCATTTGTATAAATATGAAAACTGTCAAGTCTGTGTCGAACTAAAAGGTTCTGTCCCTCCATTTGTATAAATATGAAAACTGTCAAGTCTGTGTCGCACTAAAAGGTTCTGTCCCTCCATTTGTATAAATATGAAAACTGTTAAGTCTGTGTCGCACTAAAAGGTTCTGTCCCTCCATTTGTATAAATATGAAAACTGTCAAGTCTGTGTCGCACTAAAAGGTTCTGTCCCTCCATTTGTATAAATATGAAAACTGTTAAGTCTCTGTCGCACTAAAAGGTTCTGTCCCTCCATTTGTAGTTTGATTTTAAACTTTGTATTTTCTTATTTTTAGATTATGTAAACCACCCTATTAAAAAAATTCTGTATTTTTTTTCTTTTTCGGGGGTGGGGGTGGGAGTAAAATCTCGTATTTTCCAACTGTCTTTAAAAATATATTGATGTCTAAATTCGAAGGTTATTTATATATTGACTTTGAGAGATAAGTTAATTAATTGTTTTAGACAGTGCATTAAATTTGCCAGTATTTTATGCTGTGATTCAAAAATAAGTATAATCTGCCAGTTAATGCATTGTAACAAAACAGGAAATAATCAAGCCACTCTGGATAGAAATGTTACTCCACTAGGAATGTTGGCTCGGAATTTAAAACAGGTCGGCTAATAAAGGAGAACAATTTGTGCCAATTGGATTTCCAACAGATTGTTGGAAGAACTGGTTTGAAATGTAAAAAACTACATAGATGTTGTCAATGTGGAACTCCAGCATTCTTTTAATATCAACCTCAGAGTGATCAGAATGATTTTTAACCAATTTCTGTAGTGGATGACAAACACAATATATGACAACCTCCGAGTTCCGTTTTTTATTAAAGAAGAAGTTGTCTATCTTATCTTAAAACCCAGTCTTTAATTTATCGTAAGAAATGATTGTATAAAGTGTAAAAACATTATACGCTTCGGTGATACTTTTTGAAACATTTTGCGATTTTAAACCTTCTAACGTTTTTTTTAGAGTTTTTGAGATTTCGGTTTGATTTACACAAATTCTAGAAAATGCTGTGGCACAATAGTCCGAAGTTTCTCCTTTACAGCAGTTGATAATTTTGTGAGGAGTAAACAAAGGGGCTTTGTAGAGCATTTGTTTGACCCGGCTATGTATCTTTGTTTCGACGGATTTTATGACGTTCAGGAATCCAGTATATGCAGGGCAGATCGAACTATTTTTAACTGGAGTGTTTGTTTGTATATTGTTTAACGTCCCTCTCGAGAATTTTTCACTCATATAGAGACGCTACCACTTGCCGGTGGAGAGCTACAAATTTTGACCTATACTCGGCACTCAGGGCCATTGAGCAGTGAGGGATCTTTTTCGTGCCAGCACTTACTGCAACATGGGACCTCGGTTTATACGGTCTCATCCGAAGGACCGGTCTCCACGTCCCACAGTGGGATTAGAACCCGGGACGTTAGGATCAACTCCGTACACCGCGACTCTAGAGCGAACGCTCTAACCACTGCGCCACGCGGGCGACAACTGGAGTGTAAAAGTATTAAAGACTGAAACCTGATTCTGAAGGATTTCAGCCTTAGAAAGTGAACTGTGAGTGTAAGATGGATTTTCAGATGTAGAATTAATTATACCTAAAATGTTCCATAACTGTCTGCAATCAGTCGTAGCATTGTTGTCAACTAATTTAGTGGAGCATTTTCCGATTGTATTTCCCCTGAAGTGGATAGCATTATCTTTATCCTTACATGTCCCATAATGTTCAATCTTATTTTTAGCGATACTGAACATCAGTTCTCCCTTCCTGGTTTATGAGATGACCATAGACCATAGAACTATCCTGTTCAGAACCCTGTCTGTCAAAATGTCTTACGCATTGTATTCTCCATTGTCCAAAGCTCTCTCTGCTCCCACAGTAGTCACTCCGTTGTGGATAAATGAGAGATTGTCTCGACGTCTATCAGAGAAGTATTTCATTATCATAATACCTATTTTGTGGAGCACACATTGATAGGAAATTGAATATTTGGAAACGTTGGCATTTAATTAAAAAAAGTTGACATCAAGATCAAGGGATTTGTGCCGTTATCATCTGATATATTTCGATGACTACTTCATGAACCTGATAACTTTTATTTTTTCTGTTGTAGCTAGTCCTACCCACAACCTACCCTCACTATCCATACTTATGCGAAGGGGTTTATTTAATCCACAGCCGTACACACATCTCAGAAAGTGTCCAAATTGATCAAGAATGTGGAGACAGTCAATGTTGTAGTCTGTTACAATGATATGGCTCATAGAGTACGTTGCAATCTGCTTTGGTGCAAATGCCTCCTTCGTTCTAACTTGTCTACCGTCGTATCGGAATCGGACTAAATAAAATAAATAGTTGAAAC